TCAGTAAACTGAGTACCCAGCTTACTGGGGGTGGGGATAAAGCAATGTGTACCCTGCATAATTAAATTGCAAACCACCCAAAGAGTGTTTTAAGCACTATGGAGCAGGTATATAAGCAGCAGCCTTTTGTACTATGGTTGCTGGGGAAGGATGGAAGCAAGGGATAAGATGTGGCTGTCTTTGCTCTGTACCAAAATATTTTTTTGGGCTGAATGAAATGGTGAACCAAGGGCGTGAGTGTGTGCAAAACATATAACAGAGAAACATGCATATCCTTTAACCTCTCAGGTAAACTAATGTTGCTGTAATTGCTCTGCAGACTAGAAATTATGCTCAGATTTCCAAATATTGTCTTTGAGTTAGGCAAACTGAGAAAGAAAAGCTACATAGAGCCAAAAGCTTTATGGACATGTTGTGTGCATGTTTTCCAAAAGATGTCCATTTGCCTTTTGAAATATAAAAAAGGAAGAGGTTGGTGTTAGCTAAGATTGTCACTGTAAACCAAGGTCAAAATCACCCATACCATGTGAAAAAAAGGCAGTAAAGAAAGACAGAGACAAAAATCAACTCATTTGAAATGAGGTGTTGGAGGAGAGTCTTACAAGATATTATAGACAGTCAGAAAGGCACAAAAGTGGATGCTCAATCAAGTGAAGCCTGAACTCTCTCTAGGTCAAAAATGAGTGAACCAAGCTACCATGCACATAAAGTTAGAAAACAGAACTAATGAGAAAGAGGCATTAGCAAAAGAGGAAGACCTAAGTTGGTTTCATTCAATGAAAGAATCCACAGCTGTTAGTTTGCAAGCCCTGAGCAAAACCTACTGGAAAAGACAATATTGCTAGGTGAGGGGCAATAAGAAAAGATGACGACCTAAGACTAGATGCTCTTGGTTTGCAAGATCTGAGCAGAGCTGTTAATAACAGGACATTTTGGAGATCATTAACTCGTATAATAACCACACATCAGAAGTTACTTGATGGCATATAACATCTTTGGAGTTTTTTTAAAAATTATCAAGCAATTGCATAGTGACAGGATGGGTGGAATGGTTGAAACTATGAAAGGATAAAGAGACCAAAGCTGTGCTTAACATCATGTAAGACCAATCCCAGGCACAAAGAGAAAAAAAGTAATTTCACATATAAAATGAGTGAACTTTGAAAATTTGTTCTCTATTCTTTTTAAATATCTTTTAAAGTCTTTTTATAACCAGACACAGAATCACTTTGTAAGCACAAATCCCTGTTTGGCCAGGAAGGGTTTAAAATACAATTGGGTCCTACTGCCCCAGATTGGAGCTGATTTCCCCTTTGAAGACTTGTGACATGAGATTGTTCTCAGAAATCCTGAGCGAATCCTGAGAGAATGTTTATTGAAAGCACTCAGGGCTGGAAGAAACATAAGTGCTCTTTGCTTTTGTAATGGACAAATACATCAAAATTTTATGCTAATTCCCTGGAGATACATGGTAAAATGTCCCCCTTTCTGGAGGACTGTCACTTCATTACTTTATTTAAAGCAAGTCTGTTTTATTGGCTCTTTAAGGAAAACCTCTCTTTTGACTTTCTGTAACCTTTCATTAACCTCCAAACATTTCTCTTCGAAGGCCAGGAAGCTGCAATGATGTATCTGTGCTGGCCAGCCTGTTCCACACATGCTCAGTCTTATTAAAAAGTGGTGGCTTTTCCCTTTTGAATTGCCTTTTGTGAGTATCAATATTTCAGCTTGTGAAGCCTGAATTCTTTCAGAATTAAAGGAAAACGGGTGAGACCAACCATTCTCTTCCAACACAAGCAAGATTGGTCTTTTCAATTTGTATGAGCTATTTTAAATCTGGGGATATTTAGAGATGCTTGTTTATGTAACATTTTGCTCTAAAAAACCCAACCATGTGCAATACTTTGATGAAATTAGAGATTTCTATAGGATCTTCAGAATGTCTTCTTCCAGTACAGAACCTATTACTAGAAATTTAATGCACATACAGGCATTAATTACTTAAATCTCTATTAAAAATGTATTAGATTTATGGAATAAAATATTCATGATAGTCCAAACATACTTAACATAATTATGCACTGTTCTTCTCTGTTCAATCTACAAAGTAAGTAGGTTAGCTAAAATTAAATGGTATTAATTTACTAACTGCTGCTTATTAACAAGTCACCACTTAGATTACCATATTTTTCCATCTATAAGATTCTATTTTTTCCTAAAATCATCACCCTAAAAATTGAGGGGAGTCTTTTACATAGAAGTAAGCTGGGATAGCTCAGGAGAGAACAAAACGGCACATACCTTGCCTCTTAAACAGAGGCTTAGTTTCCTACAGTCAGGAGACTCAGCTTCCTCCAAATCACGAGCCTTATGGAACTGACATCAGCTGATCCTGAACAAACCAATTGGAACACACCTCCTTAGAGGTGGAGCCTGTAGGCTCAAGATTCAACAGAGACAAAATGTCTGATGTTCTTAGCTCAGAGGCTGAATCCTGAAAGCTATGCTTTTTTAATTTTGGGGTTTGAAAATTGGGGGGGGCATCTTATAAATGGGGCGTGTTATAAATGGAAAAATACGGTAATCATTGCATGCAAGTGAGTAGACTGGAGCACAGCCAGCAATTCAAATGGCTACTGCAACCTGTCAATTAGTGCTGTTTGCTGCTGCAAGTTACATTATTGCCTATCTGCCAGCAAAAATCTGCAAGAGGATTTTGGCCATTACAGTAATTTTTTAACATTTCTCTCATCTATCATACCTCCACGTTGACAGAAATACTATTTTATTTTACAAAGATGACACTGTTCATATATTCCAGGGATAAGTAAGTTTGAAAAAAATGATAAGTACATTTCTAAATGCACTCAATGAAAAACTAAAACAAATAACAATAAAGCAAAATTGTGAATTTTAGTAAAACTAAGATAGCAGTGTTCTTTAAATGACAAGATGTCATAAAGCAAGTCTGTTGCTTTGAACAATTGAACAAGTTAAGAGTGTTCTAATAATTTCAGCATAGCTTTTCAGTTATCAAGAGCACAGTTAGCTCAACATACTTATGTGGTAGAACAAGCTTTTCAGAGCAATTAAAATTTGAATGTGGTTCTTTTGTACAAAAGGTTACTTCTAGTGCTTTAAGTTTCCAAGACTAAACCTTTTGCTCAGTTATTTTATGTGACTGAAATTTGACCTGATGTTAATTCATGCCTGTTGGAGGTTGGGCACTCCAAATTTCATAAATATTTTTGCCTGTGGCTGGCTGTGCACTGAATGCCTTGTAAATGGAAGTTTTTCTTCATTTATTATACAGACAACTTAGGACATTTAATCATTATTTTAAGCTAAATTTAAATTATCATGCTTGCTGCTTTCCCTTTTGCTTGACTCAGACAATAGCAGCTGGAAAATGGCATTAACTTAAGACTATGTTCTTTTAATTTTTCACTACTAAAAGTTATCAATCTTGATCCAAGTAAAACAAGGGGCATATTTTGTTTTGCCTTTCTGATATGAGATACAGAGTAATTTGAGTGCCATAAAAAACCTGCTCTTCCACTTCAAGCTTCTGATATATCAGTATTCTATTTGCAAGATCTAACAATAGTAAGAAAACACTAAACAAATAAAAAAATAGGAGAGCCTTTAAAAATGCATGATTGAATGTTCTACCTTCTTGAGGACTGGTTTAAGAGAACTCTGTTACACAAACATGTATGCCTATGGGGAGATGGCAATAACAACCACAGGTCCACATATTCTGTTGTTTTCAGAGATTAATCAAGTAATCAAGAGTTAATTATTCCATTCCAATATCTTCCAGGGCAGTGGTTTCCCACATTGGGTCCCATGATGTTCTTGGACTAAAATTCCCAGAAGCCTTCACCACCAGCTGTGCTGGCCAGGATTTCTGGGAGCTGTAGTCTAAGAACATCTCGGGGCCCAAGGTTGGGAACCACTGACTTGCATTTGACTTTTATGTGTTATTTCCTCCTTGCAGATAATATGGTGATAGAAAAATCTGCCATTAGTAATAAGTCCATTATGATGCTGTTTCTACATACAAAAGATTATTCCTCTGCAGGCTGGAAGTGTCCAAAAACATGGTAAGCATTTTATTTGAAAAGCTGGAGATTATGCTTATCCTATATTTGTCGAATGATATTTCAGTATCTAACTGTGATGATTTTGGACTTTTTTGCTTTCTCCCCTCCACCATACCACCTCCAGTCTCTGAAATAACTAGCCAGAGCAATACTCTTGACACAGATGTTACCCAACCCTGTTTTTGGATTTTCCTGAAAGACTAAATTCCTATGTTTCTTTAACTGCAAAACTGTGCCCTACCTTGACACCAGGACCCTCACCATGTTGGTCCATGCTCTGGTAATCTCAAGAGTAGATTATGGCAATGCACTCTACGTGGGGCTGCCCCTGAGACTGATCAAACACTGTGTTTTAAATATGTATCAACACATTATTTAACTGGAATTTGGGCAGGTGGATGTAGATTATTTCTTTCCAGTGCTCAGAATGATTTTATTAGTTTCATTTATACCACACTTGCCCTGCAGTAACCCCAAGGCAGTACTCATGGCTCTTTGCTTCCTCACTTTACTCTTACAACAAAAACTAGCTGGAGAAAATTCTAGAGGGCCAGAACAGAGTTGCTGGGTTTCACTTCTTTTCAGCCAGCAGCAACATTTATTATTGAAAAGTACAGCTGTTGATACTGCTTTTGTTGTTCCTGTTGTGGAATTAGCAAATCCTAGCTTATTAGTAAAGAAACATTCATGCAGAATTCCAGCTTAAGTCAATCACTTTCATAGTAAAAATACTTGCCCACTTTTGTTAAAAAAAATACCCAGCTTCACTGATAACTTAATGAATTGTAAGATGTTAATACCTATTTCTGATTTCTCCAAATGGACCATGTATATATAAATGTATTTTCTACCTGGACTCAGTCTCACCCATAAGAGAATGGATTGTACACTCACCTGTATGTACAAACATGTGCTTGACATAATTCTGTTTGGCGGTGAAAGTCTTGTTGCAAAGTGTGCACTCATAAGGCTTTTTTTCACCCTGCCCACCTGCTGTGCCGTGGCCTGCAGAAGGAGCTAGAGGCTGTGGAGCTGGTAGTTGGGCAGTGAAAGTTGACAGACCTGGCTGGGACACAGTCACAAATTGTGCCTGTTGGCCTAAGGGCTGGGGCAGGCTGAAGAGGAAAGGCTTAGTGCCAGTGCCAGCAGACTGTGTAGTAAAGAGTGCGGGCAAGTATGTATTGCCAGCTGTACCAATCACTTGTGTGTTGCTGGTCAAGGTCAACGGCATCCTCAAATTGCTGGTGAGGGTTTCTGTCTGGCGTAAGTACAGCTGGGTGCTTGGCAATGCCTGCCCGACTGTTGTAGTGACAGCAGACTGCAGTGTCCCCTTTTCAGTACTGTTACTAACAGCAATCAGTGTGCTGTCCCTTTCAATGTCATTGCATCGTTCAGGTGAGGAAGAGTTGGCATCTATGTGCTGTTGCTGAATGCCTTCAGCAGAAGCATCATTTTGTTCTGCTTGGGGAGGCTCTTGTTGGCCTTCTCGGTTTAGACCTGTTATAAATTGTTGTTCAACAGAATCAGGTTCAGTGCCAATGGAGGAACTGACCCCAGAGTCAAAGCTCTCTCCCTTGGGCTCACTTTCAGTGCCTTCTGCTTGATCAGTATCTTCAGTGCATTCCTCAGACTCATTGCGCTCCAGAATCTGTACCCTCTGCTGTCCATAGTAGTCATAGTCATCTTCCACCTCTTGCTTAATATGAATATTGCCCACTAAGGTTTGGATCCGAACCGGGCGTGGCTGCTTCCGGCAGTGTGTAGTTTCTGGAGTGGTGGAAAGATACCGCTCCATCTGCTGCTGCGAGCGTTCATGGATCCTTGTGATCCAACTTGGGTCTTCCATATGATGGTCTCTGGAAAGTCCAAGAGCTGTTTCATGGTGACTGACCACAGCTCCGCTGTAGAATGAACGTTCTCCACTACCATTCTGCATAGAACAGGCATACAAAGCAGAATAGATCCTGTCTACACTGTGCTGGGAATGGCTTTGCAGATAGCCAGACTCTGTGTCACTGCTCTGCCCTGAAGTGGCTGATTCAGGAGTCCCTCGGGGTGTCTCCTGGGCAGAATCCTGCATCACTGGGTAAATGTCACCCACATTCTGTGAGACAATCCGTGTGCATTCATCAATCACAGTCTTGATCTGCAGGATGCTGGCTGCTGTAAGAATTTGTAAGGCCTCTGACTGTGAGACCCGCAGCACCCCACTATACATGAAGTCAATGAGCTTTTGTACGGATTGGACTGACACCACAGAAGGAATTTCAATGTCGCTGTAGCCCAATAGCAGCTTGTCTTGGAAGAAGGGGCTGCCAGCCGCTAACACACAACGGTGTGCGCGTAGCATGCTCCCGTGGATGCGGACCGTCACATCACAGAAGTGGCCACGGTTGCGTTGCTCGTTGAGGGTCTCGAGCACAGAATTGCTGAAGTTGTGGAGATTGATGCTGTGAATGCGCTCTGTCATCCCCTTACAACTAATGTTACCTGCAAAACAGAAAATGCAAAACAGAAAGGCAAATTAGTTTAACATCCCTTCATGTTGAGCTTCACTCCTCACAGACAGTGAACATTCAGATAAATCACAGCTCTATTCCATCCATATTGCAAAATTCTCTACTTTGGGGATACTGAAATGAAAACTTCTATGGCTCAGCTTATTTAAATATTAGAAAGCATTAAGTATTAAGATACAACCTAAGTAAGGTTTAAAGTGTTGTCAAGTTGGTGAACATTTTCAGGGTTTTCCAGGCAGTTCTCAGAGGTGGTTTCCCATTCCTCCTTCTGGGTGTGTCCTGAGACTTTGCAGCTTACTCATGGTTGCACAGGCTAGCTCTACTCACAGGAGGCACAGTGGGGAATCAAACTCCCAACCTCCGGCTCCACAGCCAGATATCTAAACCAGCACAGTGTATGTTTAAAGTATATGTTGTGAATTTAATGAAGTGGAACTACTATCACCTCTCTTCAATCATGCCAAATATCTCCCCTTTCCAGTAAGAGAAAGTCCAGTTCTCTTTCCAGGTCTACTTAAGCATTAGTACCTTCTCTTCCGTATTTAAATAACTTCCCCCCAAACATATGCTAAGCTAAACAGCTTCCATTATTGGAACCAGTGCTCAGATAGGAATCTGCTCCAGATCTCCTCTCTGTCACTTTCCATGATTTCAGCAGCCCAATTTTTAGGGCGGGGGAGGCTTTTCGTTATCAATATTGCTCTGTTGCAAACTACCCAGAGATCTTCCAGTGGACGAGAGGTTATCAAATTTAAGGCAGCAGGTCTACTTTGACTTTGTTGCTTGCACTGAGCAGGGGGTGGACTCGATGGCTTTACAGGCCCCTTCCAACTTATTTATTCTGTCATTCTATGACTACACCTGTTGACAAGAATAAAACCTGTTTCGTTTGAAATGTGGTCTTGGAGGAAAGCTTTCCAGATACCCTGAATGGCCAGAAAGAAGTGAGACCTAAATCAAATCAAGCCTGAACTATCTCTGGAAGCAAAAATGTCAAAACTGAGACTTTCACATAATGAGAAGGCAGAAGTCTCTGGAAAAAACAATAATGATGGGAAAGGTTGAAGACAGCAGAAAAAGAAGCCTAAATATGAGATGGATTTTGCGACTTACACACATTTTGGAGGCCATCAAGTCATATTTGACTTATGGGGTCACCATATGACTTGATGGCACAACAACAATAATATTCAAAGTTCTGGCATAGGTTGTACAAGTTAGGATTACTAGCAATTGTAGTCCAGGAACATGGTCCTGATGAACAGTACACATCCTCATCCAGGCCATAGATTATATTTAATATCTCTCTAGTAAAGTAGCAGAGGAATGTTAGATATTCAAGTTTATAGCACCTGGAATATATGGCCCTGAAATAAATATATATTACATACAATTATGTACATTAGGAGTCATCAATATATTGTTTTCCTAAGATGGCAAGAAAGCTTTGGTTGGGCTGAGCTGAAATATGATGGAAGATGAAACTCAAACATCATTTCAGTCTATTCCCTCAAGCAATCTACGTTCCTAGGCAGAAAGTGAGGAAGAGGTTCAAATCAATGTTCATAAGGCACATGCACTAATCATCCTCACTCCTCCCCATGTCTCCGCTTTCAAATGCTAACACAGAAAAGTTTTCTCAAAAAAAAGAGGGGAAAGTGGAGGGAAGGAGGACTAGAAGGCACACATTTGCATAAAATATGTAACAAGCAACAGAAAATATCTAGGTAAATTCTCTATAGGCAATACACCTAACAAACCCAGTCTCAGGAGCAAACAGGTTACAAAATTAAAATCTAACTCTACAATTAAAATTTTCTTTATCGATGACACAAGCCAGAATGAGGCAAATTTTATTCATTAGTTTTGTATAGTGACAATCATTTCCAGCTGCATTGTCAGCTGATAAAATCTACTGAGTTACAGACACAGTTTCATTTCCCATCCTTCTGTAGCATGTAAGAAACAAGGATCCCAATACATAGATATTAGATCTCATGGGGTCCTTTGAGAAAGTTTAAGATTTCAAAATTGGCAGAGAAGTTATGTGGTAAAACTGAATGTGAGAAACAGACTTTAATAGCTCAGATTAGTGGCAAGAAAGACTGCGAGAACGGCTTTACTTTTGATATGTGCTAAAGTGCATCACAAATTACTTAATCTGAACATCAGAAGATGGGCCAAACTAAAAAGTACATTTACAAAACAAGACTAGAGGAAATAAAAAGCATCTCTGGTTAACAAGAAAATTAATAAACAATATTTACATCCAAATAACTAGTGCTTCCACACAAATGGCTTCTAACATTGGCAATCAAAAAGGCATTGTACAGCCTTTCCATCTTTCCTTGCAAAATGTTCTTTTCTGTGGGGCAGGGGAAAAAAAAAGAAATAGCAGACGAACATTACATGATTTATTACAAGGAGAAGATTATGGAACACCCCACAAAAGTCCATAAATAAGGCAGGAGATCTTGTGATAAAAGCCTACTCTGTATGATCTGTATGACAAATAAAAGGGAAAACCATGTTCTAATTGCTAAGTGTTATTTTAAATTCACCCACTCACCTAATTGTCAGTGCATAGAAATTCTAGAACAAAGGGTGGGAAATATTCTGTCTCATTTTGTTCCCAGACCCGCTGTTCTCTCCAAAGTTAATACAGTGGGAAATGTTTCTTTGGAATTGAAGCTGCCTTTGTGAAGCAACCTGCATTTGCCCAATGAATATCAACGTAGAACTCCTGCATGAGAAACTGCTGCCAGAGAGCCTGTTCATTTTTGTGAAAGCAGGTTGATTCAGAAATTGTACATAAATGAAAGCGTGTGAAAATGCAAGCCTATTCTTACTCAGGCAGGCAGTGAATGGATATATAGCCTGGGGAGGGAGGGTGGACCTAACGCAGATAGTGCCTAAGTGTCATTCTTTCAGAATACTGGTATGGCAAGGGTTTTGTACTGTGTTAGGGTCTGGAGAGTGTTTTTGTTATACTTTAAAAGCTTACTGTAGACAGGAATATGGATGTACTATTCTGTGTTGGAAAGAAACATCAAAATGTGTCAGCTCCTTTATGTTACACAACCATTCTAAAAGAAGATGCAGGTACTGAATTCTGAATGGTGGTGAATTTAATTGTAGTGTATGAGTGTGCATGAGATGTTACTCAGCACTACACAGAGCCTCATAATTTGATTTACAAGCATGACTAAGGCTGTAGATTCAGAAGCTTGTTCAGATAAAATACTAGATTTTAGTTAATTGGACAAGAGCTACTGACTTGAACTTAACTGATTTCCATAATAGGCTGTCCTCAAGATTTTTAAAAAAAGTATACAGACCATGCTAGCCCAAAAAGTACAATCATCACATAATTCTGCTTTATGTTGATGGTATGGTGGGGAGTAGTATGGTCAATCATAGGTATTAGTTCATTTTAAGAACTTTTCATGAGCCAAATGTATGGTTCTGCCACCTAGATGGGGTGAAATATCTGCTATACAATATGAGCCAATGACATTATGGATCGAGGATATCATTAACACAATAGTAATTTTCAGTGCTTCTATACTAGCAAGATGCATATGTCACTGTGGCTAGCTCAGACAACTCGGGGAATAGCACGTGTGCTTTCTACAGGAGATATCTGATCAATGACACATTCCTTAGTTGCATCCTGTTTGGACTACTGTAACATGTTCAACATGGAGATCCTTTCGAAAAATCTTTTGGAATTTTAGCAGATCCAGAATGTTATAGCCAGACTGCTAATAATAATTGGCGACAATATGCATATGGCTTCCTTTGGCAACAGCTTTGATGTCTACTAGTTTATTGGCTCCCTGTTACAATAGCTTCATTGGCCACCAGTATATCTTCAAACATAATTCAAAGTGATAGCTGTGACCCATAAAGTCTAATATGACCTGAGAGCAGACTGTTTGAAAGGCTCCATTCTCTCTAAGTGTTTATATTTTTGGGGTGGGGAAGGGGGCTTTTCTGAGACAAGAGAGGTGGCCACTCAGCTTTTGGAGCTCCATGCCCATAGGAGACTGCAAAAGGTCACTATATGTCACTTGGTGGCACAATATAGTTGTTGTAATGAGAATATGCAAGAATACTTCAAATTAAAGCTTCTAGCTGCATATAATTTTTCCTATATATTTATTAACTCAATTTTCAATTCATTATTCTGCTGTGCTGGCTATGTGGAAATGTAGCTCCAACAATGTAAACTGAGTTAAAATACACTATTTTTCTATGCTAAATACAATTCTCTAAACAGGGGCGATCACCATCATGCAGTGGGCAGCAACACTTTGCTTTCTACCTCAGATAGCAAAGGAGATTATCCAATCCTGCTTATCTTCATTGAAACACTGATTTAGCAGTCATGAACATATTCATTGAAAATAAATATAGAATCACAGTTTGTGTTTCTACTAGGATTTGACATTTTGAGACTGAAGGCTAGGTTGATGTTTTGTTACACAGAATCATAGAATAATGGAGTTGGAAGGGGCCTACAAGGCCATTGAGTCCAACCCCTGATCAATGCTGGAATCCAAATCAAAGTAGGTCTGACTGATGGTCAGCATTCAAGTGCAACATCACACTGTTGGCTCATATTCAACTTATGATCTACAACAATTCCAAGATCCTTGTAGTATTATTGAGCCCAGTATATACCTTATAACTGTGTCCCACCACCACCACCGGATGTAAAACTTTGCATTTATGCTTGGTAAATGTCATTATGTTATTTTCTACCCAGTGCTCAAGCCTATCAAGATTTCTTTGAATGGTTTCTTTCCAAGGTATTAGCTGTTCCACACAATTTTGTGTCATTCACAAATTCAATAAGCACTGCCCACACCTCCTCATCCAAGTCATTCATTAATAAAATGAAGAGTACTGGGCCCATAAATGAACCTTGTGGCACCCCATTTGTTACCTCCTCCTCAATTTAAGAAG